GCAGCTAGTTTCTCCCTTAGGAATCTAACCTTATTTTTTTTAAGAGTTTTGTTACAGGGACTCAAAATATGAGACCAACAGGGGACATGTGAGGTGTCCCCCTTCTATTGTATAATAAGCTGGTCATCATTATGCAATAGAAGGGGAACATCTCATATTTCTCCTCCTGTTGGTCTCATATTTTGGGTCCTTGAAATTTTTTTTTTTAAGTCGATCTGAATGACCCAATTTTTATTAATCCATCAAATTTTCAAGCCAACATCTGATTAGAGACATTTTCTACAGTAGACGAACGCGTGGGAATTGAGTGTACCCACCTTATTCACAAGAACATTGAGAAAAAATCATGCTTCTTGTTAAGCATCTAAACAACAAAGTACTTTGATAAATTATCCGCCGTTAAAACTAATGCACTATGTAGCAGCTCTCTTTGCATGTGATTATTTAGAATCCCAAACATAACTTTTAAGGCCCCAGGTACATAAATTCTTTTAATATAATGAAGAATGCTCTCATCTATAGGGCAAAAAAAAAAAAAAAGATCAATTGTTTACTATGTTCTAAGAATGTGTGCAGATGCTTTTTAAACCCGGGAACAAGCAAAGGTCAATAATAAAGCTCACTTCTATAATTTTCTAATCATTTCTCATGTGTTATTATTATATTTGGCTGTCATTTTCTCGTGCTTGCGTTGCTCAACACCCCTCACCACTATCTCCTACCTCAAAATCTATGGCTTGTTTAAATGCCAACCCTACACGGGACAGTTGCCAACCACCAACCTCTCTTTATTCTACTCATAAATAAAAGTACATATTACAGGGAGCCAACATGTGGGACATTTTTCAATTAATATTATGAGATTCATCCCTGATTTGATGAGCCCCAAAAATATTAGGTGAGAGATTCAAGATGATGCAAAAGGGAATCAAAGCACAGCTCACAAAGACAAGAAGGACTAGATAAGCCACATACAGCAAGGATCCAACTGTAAAACAAAACAAAACAAATTAAGAGTATTTCCAACAGTTTCTTCAAAATTTTCTCCAAAATGAAGAAACAAAAGTCATATTCTCCAACTAATTTTTACACCAACTCCAACAACTTTCCCATTTTAAAGAATCCATTTTTTCCTCCAAAAATTTGGAGAATGCTGCAGATTTGGGGAAGCTTCCCCATTTTTTCTCATCCATTTTTTCCTCCAAAAATTTGGAGAATGCTGCAGATTTGGGGAAGCTTCCCCATTTTTTCTCCTCTATCCCTATTTTGGGGAATGAGATGGGGAATTTGTTGGGCCAAAAACCTAACTAAATTCTCCAAAAGTGAGAAATGGAGAAGCTGTTGGAGATGCTCTAAGAGCTGGAGAAAGCGAATAGGGTAGAGACAGTTTCAACAAATACATTAAAAGCAGCGAACAGCTTCTCTAAACAAATAGAATTATAATGTTTTCCTATTGAATAGATGAATGGGGAGTTTGTTCACAGTTTCAGACAAAAATAACACAAGGTTACATCATGATACAAACAGTATTTTCTCAACATACAGACACCGAAAAAGACGTTATCACAGAAACCCTGAGCCACCCAAGACAAAAAAATTCACAAATTTATACTGTGTGTGGATCTGGGTTTAGTATTATACAGTTGTATTTTATGCACCCACTTTGTTCTCAATAAAATTGAGCAGCTGACAGCATCACCAAGAACACTCAAATCTACATCTCGTTCCAGTTGCAAGCCAAGCCTACTTCCTTTATTGTGAAGAATAAATGTGCACGCCCAATGTGGAACTTTCAGTCTCCCATTCCATCCAACCTACTAAAGAATTGTAGTCCAGCCTTCTGACTGCCTATTTTCCACTTACAGAGCTTGACTAAACAAAAACTGAACGATTACAAGCACAACTCTTCCTGTTATCTACACATAGAATCAAGAATCGTATGTAGTGTCAAAATTCTGATGATCCATCCTTCGCTAGTTACAGTCCAATCCACATTCTTCCAACAATGGTCCATCCGATTTTGCCAAGAATGGATCAATTCGAACCCACAAAAGGGAGAAGATAGAAGCAAGAAGAATAGACCAGACAATGATGATCGTAGGTGTTCTGTTTTGTCGACCAACCAAACCTTTGAGAAAGGGATAGAGATGGACAATCACCCAGAACGCAAAGAAGAGTTTACCAAACAAAGGTCCCCATGATTCATAACCGTTGTTAATGGCATTCGAAACTCCAGCAACTACGCCGATTATGTTGACTATTAAAAGAGTTGTTGGGGGAATAAGCAATGTGGTCCATTTGAAGGTATACAACTCTGAAAAATCTTCATCGTCACTGGCTTTTGATGTCACTGTGAAATTGGTATCAACACCTGCAAGGACCTTCAGAAGACCTTGAAATAGTGCGAATAGATGTGCTGAAACACCCCCAATCACCCAAAACTGCTCATTTCTCCACCAATCATCAATACCGACTCCACTCCATCTCATTTCAAGGATACCCGTTGCAAAAATACAAATGAAGAGTGACATAAACCACAAGCTCGCAACGTTGCTAAGCTGCATTGAGCATAGAAAGGTCAAAATTAGCAGAACATCTAAAGAAAGTGAGCCATTCACTAAAATGGGTCAGCAATGAATAAATAGATACCTCTGGAGTTATGAACTTTCCGGTGAGCAAGCAAACAGCAGGCAGCGTGCAGTATGCCAGAAGAGGAAGAGATGTGAGAGGATAAACAACGGAATTTATGTACGAAAACCTCTCTAGCCGTTTCAAGCCACCACCATAACCATACCATAGTGGACAATGACGAGACAATAAAATTTCAACTGAACCCAGAGCCCATCGAAGAACTTGATGGAGACGATCCGAGAGATTAAGGGGAGCAGAACCTTTGAAAGCCGGCCTTGGAGGAATACAATAGATTGATCGCCATCCATGGCAGTGCATTTTAAAACCTGTCAAAATATCTTCTGTAACTGAACCATAGATCCAACCAACCTGAATAGAAATTGGACAAGGTTAGTTTAAAGCAGTTGCAAAAAGAGGCATTTTAGGAATCTAAGTAAAGGACAAAATAACTAACCTCTTTACCCCAGTCTGTCTTGTCCTCATATCCACAGCTAATGACATGAATAGCTTCTTTCAGTAAAGATGCTGGAGTAGCACTCTTCAATGTTCCACCGTCTTCAAGCAGGGTGGATGCAACAAAAACTGGCGACTGTCCAAATTTCTTTTCCAATTTTTGCTCAGGCATAAAGGCCTTTTGGCTTTCGATACCTAATAAATATTCAAATCAAGTTAAATGGCGTGAAATGGACCATGCGTTAATTACTTAACACTTAAAAGTAGGCATACCTTCAAAGCCCTCTTCAATGCCCTCCAAAGCAAAAACAGGAGGTGTGTTATCTCCTCTCTTACTAAAAAACTTTTTCTTTCCCTGCTTATTCTTTGTAGACTTCTTTTTCTTGCTTCTAGAACAGCAGCAGCAACAGCACCACTTTGGCCAACAATTGCAAGTCCTTGTAGGGGGCTTTTTCGTCTTTGGTGCATCATAGCCATAGAGAGCTTGCCTTCGGAAAACACATCCAGTACCCACATATATTGGTCCTTGAATTCCATCCAGACCTTTCATATTAATCTGCAACATAAGGTTTTGCAATATTATATATCACAGCCAACAACATACTTACATGATTACATCAAATAAAGGTCTTAAATTGCAGTACTTACATCAAAGAACACAACGTTTCGATTAGCATATCGATCATGTCGATCGATACCTTCGAACCTCTGAGGAAACTGCACATAGCAGACTTTCTTCCCGACCAGTGGATCCATCATGAAGCACATAGACTCCCTAAGTGCCTTACTATTGTTGATGTAATGATCACAATCAAGATTCAGCAGGTAGGGTGCATTTGTGAGTACAGCTGAGACTCTAACCTACCAACACAAAGAATCAAGGCATAAATTGAATAAGCCTTGGGAAACTTTCACATGTAAGAACTGGGAGCTAAAAGAGATGTTTTTACCAGAGCATTCATAGCACCAGCCTTCTTATGGTGATTAAACCCTGGTCTTTTTTCTCTAGAAACATAAACCAGTCGAGGGAGTTCATTCCCATCCATGTCATGCCCACCACTTTCACCAAGAAAAACCTTCATGCCAAATTTAGTCATCAATAATGTTGAAATGGTCAAGGAAAGATAACATATATATAAGAAAGGGCTGCAACAAAGAAGTATACCTGGATCATTCCAGGATGATCACGAACATTGTTTCCAGGCCAAGGAGTTCCATCTTGCATTGTCCACCCTTCTTCAGGGACCTTTTGAGCTTTCGAAACCAAAGCATTTATACGTACCTTGAACTCTTCATATTCTCTCTGCAGTTATCATCAAATATTTTACCCCACCAAAGCATTTATACGTACCTTGAACTCTTCATATTCTCTCTGCAGTTATCATCAAATATTTTACCCCAACCAAAACACAAGAACCATTCAAGAAACTCACTAAAAAAATAGCTATGCACTATGGATACCTTCATTGCTCTTCGTTCCTTTACAAAAGAAGGTAAAACCTTGTCCTTCAAATAGTCTATCTTCTGCTGGAAATACCATTCAGGTGCACGTACAAAAGAAGGTAAAACCTTGTCCTTCAAATAGTCTATCTTCTGCTGGAAATACCATTCAGGTGCACGCGGTTCAATACTGAATTTCTTGCAGAATGGTACCCATTTCTTTGCAAATTCAGACGTTTCTGATAATGCTTCAAATGTCAGCATTGCAGCACCATCATCAGAAACATAGCAGGAGACTTTCTCAACTGGGTAATCAACAGCAAGAATGGACAACACTGTGTTTGCTGTAACCAGAGGGGGTTCTTTCAATGGATCAACAGTACTCACAAAAATGTCTACTGGTGACAGTCGAGACGGCTTGCCTTCCTTCTCATACCTTTAGAGAGGAGTTGAAACATTAATAAGTCAGCCTTTCCATGAAATTAACTATAAAAAAAATAAAGTTTTGCAACATTGGTTTACCTTAATGATAGTCTATCTAGATAAGTTTCCCTTTCAATTGGGAGCCACTTTGGAAATTGATCGAGTATCCATGAAAGGGCAAACCAAATTTCACAAATCACAGACACAAGCCACAGTCCAAATGCATCATTCACTGGATGTGTGACTCGGTAATGGAAAAAGAATCCAAGAACTACCAGCCGAATAACAATGATTATCCTGTATGGATTTATCAGGCTGGAAGAAATGGGTATTTTTCTCGACAATGGTTGCCTAGCTTCATCCATTCTGGTCAAAAAGATCATGTCGTTAATGCTTGTGAACAGTAGGAGAATTTTAATCAAGAAAAGTATGATATTTTACACCATATCTTGGAAATTGAAAATCCTAGAAGCTTACAGTGGCAGATCTGGATCATCACCATCATCCCCTTTTCCACCGTTTTCATTTCTTGCTGCCTGCAAGTTTTCTTGCTTTTGCTTCCACAACTCCATCCTCTCCTTCCATGCAATACTTCCATAGCCATAGGCAGCAAGATCCTTGGAAGGATCCATGGATCTTGGTCGCACTGAAAGCATACACAAAGAGTACACAATTCTAAGCACCACTTTTTCAGAAGTTTAGTCAAGTAAATTTAACGTGATCCTAGTTTTGCGTGTATATCCTTATACCTGGAATACTGGGATCAAGAAAGGGCAGCGGATGGATCCTTTTTCCTCCACCACCCGTATAAGCAGGAACCAAGGCGTGCTGATCAGAAGGGATGTCATCGACCTGTGATTAAATACCATCAATAAATTCTATGAGGAAAATATACAAACTGCCATAACATATTCTTGTACTAGAGAAGGGGGAACAAAATGGAAGTGGAAGAGGAAGAGACGAGAGGAATGGAATGGGAGGGGAATAATTCAGCTGAATAATATTATTGGTACGCATGATACGGATTACTTTTGCAAAACAAGCACTAAATTCAAGCAACTAGTATTAAAATTCAAAAGGATATGTTCCAGGTTTACAATCAGCTATGTGGATCCATTTTCTTGTGTTAGTATGGTTAAAGGCAATCTCTTATTCTACATTAGCAATAATGATCCTTTGCTCCTAGGCATACTCATCAATCTCAGTAGCACACTTTAATGGGTAGTAAGCACCCACGTCTGATGATCATGGGTAGCTTAAAGTAAGCGACGTGATCTAAAACCACCTCAACATTTCAATCAACTAAGTTTGGTTAAACCTACAAGTATGGTGTCAACCATTAATACCCTTAGATAAAGGTCAGCAAATGTAGTAAGAGTCTCCAATTGCTGCTGATAGTGAGAAGTAAATTATAGTAAACACATCAGCCACTAGGGAGCAAAGGAGGCCTAAAAATCCTAAAATTGAAAGGGGAAACTGCTCATGTAAATATTCAGAATGTTCATCTACAAAACTAAATGACTATAGATGACATACCATTTCACCATTGGTAAGCAAAGGCACATTGGACACGGAATTAACCCCGTGAGGCATCTCCGTATAAAACTCCCAAACAAGGTTAAAATGAAATTTCCCTTCCCTTCCCCCTCTCTACCCTCCATCCAAACAGGAAATGAATAAAGATGACAACACAATAGCATACCATTTCACCATTGGTAAGCAAAGGCACATTGGACACGGAATTAACCCCGTGAGGCATCTCCGTATCCGACCCTCGCCCAAATCTCATGTGACCCTGCAACATAGCCTCAGCTCCATACTGCATGTCCTCCCTATCCCTCCCCGCAAAACTGAACTCATTATCAATATCATCAAACCCATCCTCTTCCTCATCTCCGGCGACTCGCGGGCGTCCTACAAGAACCAAGCTTTCTTAAATATATGCGCTCTTTGTAAACAGAAACCATCAAAAACCCACAAACAAGCAATTTACCTTTGAGCCTCTTAAACCTAGTTTTGCACTGAGGGCAAACTTGACTACCCTCCCTCCGCTCGTAATCGTAACAATCTCTACAGACAGGGAAAGCACACTCATTGCAAGCAACAAAGAGCTCCCCATCAGGAGTCAACCCGACGTCATCCCCACAAATCTGGCAGATTTGCCCACTCACTTGCTGCAGAGGCTTCGGCTGCAACCAAGCAAAACATCACAGATCAACACATTACTCAGACGAACCAATCCAAAATCGAACTCTAACCAGAAAACGCAACTCTTACCCCAGACTCCCCATCACGGCGAATGACCACGAGCTCGTTCCTGTTATGGGAGCCGGCAACGAGGCCAGCACTGGCCTCCATTTACACCAGATCTGAAGAAGCTGATCGATGCCCACTTCCAAAGATCCGACTTTGACGCGAATGGCGGAACGCCCGGATCGATTTGGGGGAGGGGAGGGGAGGGGAATGAAACCCTAAAGGGCCAATCTTTCTTGCTGGCTGCCACTCGTCTATCAAATGTGAGCTCTTTTATGAGGAGGTCCGCCGACAGTGAAGAGCGAATGCGTCAAAATGAGGCCTCTCTCGTATAATCAGATAAAAGCGAGAGAGAAAGCGACGGACCATCGACCAAAATAATTGAGAGATAAAAGCCCTGCGGTCTTCTTCTTGTTTTAACTTCAACTAGAAAGAGAGAGAGCGTAGGGATTTTTTTTTTCTTTTTTAACAGAGAGAGAGAGAGAGAGAGAGAGAGAGAGAGGTGACAGGTTGGCGCGTGTGGAGTTTCAGTAGTCGTCACGGTTCCGTCTCTGCCACCCTGGCGTGGGCCCAACGCGCACTCTAGGGTTCTGGAATTGGGGGTCGGTGATCGGGGTGCTGACTGCGGTGGGATTTGATCGGATCGGATCAGCTTCCGGCTTCATTGGTATTAATAAGTCAAGGTCTTTTTGGTTAAATTTCAGAAAACCCCTCTTTACCTTCGATCATCGCGAGATAACCCCTCATTACTTCCAAAAATATCAGAAGCCGCCTCGAGTTCAGGGGTTAGCAGGGGGAAAAAACCCTCTCTTCGCCTTTAAGATTTTTTGCCAATGAAAATAAGGGGCCGGCTTGATACTCATCCGGAGTTAAGGGGGTTGGCCAAAATATAGCCTCTTCGTTATGTTAGATTGATGAATGATTGGTAATTATGTATTAGACCCTCAAAGCTTCTTATTTCTTAATCAGGTTCCCAAGTTAACGTATTTGTTCGGAATTGGGAGTCTTATTTAAATAGAAATGTTAGGGGCACACCCTCAACCACAATCTCAACCACACCTCCTCTCCCTCTATAGTGCATTGGGCTCCACATCAATTTTTTTTAAAAAATTTGATGTGGGACCCAATGCACTATAGAGAGAGAGAGAGGAGGTGTGGTTGGGGGTGTGCCCCTAGCACCACTCTTATTTAAAAAGGTCTAGCATATTTTGAGGTGAGACTGAAAATATGGGAGTATTATTTAAGACAGCTCAGGGATCTAATATTTAATTTGGAAGTGTGCGGATTTGAGGGTCTATTGTAAAATTAGCAAATATTTGGGGGTCTAATGAAACAACAATCTTGTACGGAAAAACATAATGCAATATTTATCTCCCACATAAATTCTAAATTAGGACAAACAAGATAAAACACAATCTTTGATACTAAAATAATAATACAGTAACTAATTTAGAAGTTTTGAATTAGTACGAGCAGCAAAACAGGAAAAATATATTTTTTATTTACTTAGTTGAGATTAAATGTGAGAATACTCTCTCATATAATAAGTATAATCATTATTTTATTATTGATGTGCATTCCATGAATTTTAGAGAAGAGAAAAACTTTTCCATGGATATTAGAGAAAGGATAACTTTCTTCAAATGTCTTGGATTGGGGAAAAAATTCATTATAAAATGGGAACTAGACTTTTCACTTCTTGCTTAAAAAAAGGGGGTTTTTGCTTTTAGACCCATTTGTTTACTCTCATTTATCTTTAAACCCAAGTACTATTATTTCTATCTTTAAGCCCAATTCACCTTTTGTATTTATCTTTAAACCCAATCTCCAAAATATAAAAATAAGTGGTGAAAATATAGTATTTTGAAGATTGGGTTGAAAGATAAATACAAAAGATGAATTGGACTTACAGATACAAATAATAGTATTTGGGTTTAAAAATAAATAGGAGTAAACAAATGGGTCTAAAAGCAAAAACCCCAAAAAAAAACCAAAAAATTCCCTAAAATAATGCGCGGCATGATGTTCCCCTTGACCTACCATCTAAAACTACCCCCAATAAGGCTGTAAACTAATACATCCAAATGCCGCTAAATAACTTATCCATAAAAATACTAGCCGCTAGCTGCCAGCTCATAATAAATGTTACGTAGTTTATCCCAAAAGATTCTCTCTAATTTATAAATGACTTTCATCATTCATAATCAGTGTCATTATCCTATAAACATTAGTTTACATTAATTTAATAAATGGGCCTTTTTGCTATAGTCCCTCAAATCTTCCGATAGCTACATATTAGCCCCTTAAAATTGTAAAAAACCGCTCATAAGTCACAAACCCCTCAGGCCCCATTTGGCCAAGGAATAATAGAAGGACTGGTAGGGTTTAACCCCTTTTTAACCATCCGAATATATTAATTTGGTCAAAATGTTAACAAATCCTTTACAAATAGTGTTGATGCACAAATGCGTAATAGCACCTCCTTTGATGGTTGATCTCCCGATATGAGGAGTGTCTTGCATGCATGCAACATGTTAGGGGGGGCAGAGTTGGTCCTTCGGTGATTCCTCAGACGATTAAGTTAGTCATTTCTGAAGATGATCAATGAACTGATATAGTTCCTTCTAAGTGTGCAGAGATTATGTACTTTTGGTCAGTAGGCGATGTGCATGTTTATACCTAGACTTATGTAACTTCAGCTGAGCCCATGTAGTCAGCTTATTTGACTGATACTTATAGTTGTCGGCTGTGGGTAGCATGACTCACCTTTATGATTAATGTGATGGTGACAGAGGGTACCAAGTGTTGTCATGGTCCAATTAGTTATTAAGACTTTCGACGGAGGTGTAATGATGTCTTCGACCGCGTATTTAATATGATGGTGACTGGTTGTCGGCGAAAGGTTCGAGAATGAACGCCTTTTGTCTCAGGCTGGCGAGAATGGATGCCTTTCGTGTCGCCTATCTGGTTCAAGTTGGTGTGTAGTCTGCTTGATACATGTGTCAATGATTAACATTTGCTAATTTCTATGGCACAATACTAGCCCCTTTCACTCGAACTCGGGTGGCCGAGTCCGAGTGAAATTGAACTTCGCGCCTTGGGTTTACTTCGAAACAACACCTAGGTCTTGGGTACGTGTTTTGGGCTTATCCATGAGAATAACACTAATGTCTTAGAGTCTTCATTACCAAGTCGATGAAGATTGAGTGGCAAGAGCTGCTTACATGTTAGCACATAATATATAATATTTTTTTATCTACAGAAGAGTCTTTACAATTTAACTACATTTTGTGGAGGTATCCTACAAAATGTTTTACATTTTATGACAATCCCACCTTTTTCTTTAGACTTCCTCTTTATTTAATCATTGGCGGAGTTTATTGAATGTTATAGTATTGATGTGGCGGTGACAACTTCTAATTCTGAGGTCCAAAGACAGGGGATCGCCCACTTCCTCAAAAAGAAATGAAAAAGCCTCACGGTGGGCGCTAAACTGTTGATGTATGGATGTGTAACAGCGGGATTCAAGGATGATTCTAATGAGCTCAGGGTCCCTTGACCTCCTTTGATGGCTGATTCCCTGATAGGAGGAGCATCCTACACGCATGCAACACGTTAGAGAACCGGAGTTAGGTTCTCCAGTGATTCTTCTGACGATTAAGTTAGTTATGATCTAAAGGGGATAAAGGAACTAATATAGTTCTCTCTAAGGCCCCGTTTGGCAAATGGTTAATGAAGAGGGGTTAAAGAGAAGGATTAATGTACTTAGCCCATTCGTTTGGCAAATGGTTAATGAAGAGGGGTTAAAGAGAAGGATTAATGTACTTAGCCCATTTGATAATCCAAAGGACTAAATTATTATCCCGTTAAATAAGTTTTATTTTAGCCCTTATGATCAGTTTTAGTGTTTGGGAATAACAATGATTTTGACTATTTTTTTATAATTAGAAGGGTTAACTCTTATTCCATCTAAATAGGAGTATTAGTAAACCCCTCATTTTGAGGGGTTAACTCATTTTAACCCCTCTAGAGGGGCTAACTTAACCCTTCTATATGTTTTATGTTTGGCAAATTATGGAGGGTTAACTCACTTTAACCCTTATATAGATTTGTTGTGTTTGGCAGGTTAAGAAGGGGTTAAGTCTCCTTAACCCCTCACTTAACCCTTTGCCAAACGGTACCTAAGTGTGCAACAATTACTTACATTGGGTGAGTAGGTGTTGTGTCTATTTATACCCAGTTGACGAGGATATTTATGTAACTTCGGCCAAGTCCAAACATACAACTTATTTGGCTGATACTTTACAAGTGTCAGTTGTGAGTGACATGATGTGATTAATGCAACGATGACAGAGGGTCCCAAGTGCTATTATGGTCCGATGAGTCATTAAGACTTTCGGCGAGGGTGTAATGATAACTCCGATCATGCATTTAATGTGATGGTGACTGGCTATCGACGATGGGTTTGAGAATGACCGTCTTTCATCTCGGCCTACTCTGGTCGAGTTGGGGTATAGTTTGCTTAAGACACATGTAAAATTTCTTTAATTTTCTGCTCAAAAATAACTCCGACAATTAGAAAAGTCTATTTGTCACAAATCTGTCACTTTTTGGGTCAAAGTGTCGCCAGTGTCACTTTTTAGGTCAAAGTGGTAAAGAGGTTAAGCCAATATGATATTTTAGCCTTTATAATAATTAGTCTCTTTAACCCTTCTTTGTTTACCAAACATAAAAAAAATTAACCCTTCATCTTTACTATCAAATCCAAACAGAAATAAATTATTTTTATTGTCTCATAAAGGGTTAACTAAATTAGTCATTCTTCTTAACTCTTTTTTGTTAACCCCTTGCCAATAACGCCTCAAAGACTCGCGAAACTTGTTCCTCATTGACCAAAATGTCCCTTAGCTTTATGCTTTTTTGAACACAGGGACTTAGGTGGAACATCGGGTGAGGGGCATTTGGTCGTTGAGGGACCAAATTGCAAGGTCCCTAAGGATTTAAGGGACTTATGAGCAAATTCTTTGAGGGACAAATGTGGACTTATTGAAGATTCGAGGGACTATAATACTAGTAAATCCTTAATAAATTAACCCCCTTTGTTAAATTGCCAACACCCTCAAAAACCAAACTAACCTGTTGACTAAAAAGAAAAGAAAAATTTCCCAATGATCCAAAATATGGGACCAATAGAGGATATGTGAGGTGTCCCCATTCTATTGCCTAATGAGAGGAACACGTAAGGTGTCCGTGTTGGTCCTTTATTTTGGGTCAATACAGCAAACTCAAGAGAAAAAAATGCGCCAATGGCGCTCAATTTTTCAAAGAGCACCCTTCCCTCTTCCAAATTTAAAGTTCTCCTCAAACCCATCACAACTTCATCCTCCTCGTCTGATATCGTCAACACTTTGTTAAACTCCCAAACCCCTCAAAGAGCCCTCTCCCTCTTCAAGCAAGCCATCTCCATGCCTCTCTCCAATGCTGAGCTCTCTCAACTCTATGCCGCCATTATTCACATCACAACCTCTGCCCAAATGTACCCACTTGCCAATTCCATCACGAAACAGCTCATCGCATGCTCAGGCAACCGGTGCACGGTTCTCGATGCGCTTCGGGGGTTCGTCGGGCCTAAATCCAGCTCCAAGGTCTTCGATGTTTTGATTGTCTCGTTCTCGCAGTTGAATCTCGTTAACCAAGCTGCCCAAGTGTTCTACCAAATGAAGGTCTTGCCGGTTGTCCAAGCCTGCAACTGTCTTTTGAATGCGGTGCTGAAATCGGGTAGAGTTAGTTATGTATGGAAGCTGTTTGATGAAATGCTTCGCAGAAGAGTTCAGCCGAATGTGTTCACTTACAATATCCTGATCAATGCATGTCGATATCAGGGTGAGGTTGAGAAGGTGTTGGAATTGGGGGTGGAAACCAACCTCCGCCGCCGGCGAGGAGCTCCGACGAGCTCCAGATGACGCAGGCGAACGCACCCCTCGACGAACGCGATCTTCGACGAACGCACCCCTCGACGAACGTGACCCCGACGAACGCACCCCTCGACGAACGCAACCCCGACGAACGCACCCTTCGACGCTGGCGACAGGTTGTCGCCAGCCTGTCATCTTCCCCTATATAAGAAACCCGATGCCCTAGGGTTTTTTAGAGCTGTGCGGCGCTGAGCTTCTCCCCTCTTCCCCGATTTTCTCTGGCGGCGGAACTCCCAGAAACGCAGCAGCGTTCTTTTCCTCTCCATTGAAATCGCAGCAGCGATTTGGGCCTTTTTTCTCCAGCTCTCAATTGTGAGTTTTGAGGGGAGATTAGAAAGAGATTAGAGAGAGAGAGAAGAAAAGAGGGGTTTAAATATTGTGGATATTATTTAATCTCAAGTGAGAAATTCAAAGGGTTTATTCCCTTTAATATTAACACTGTAGCTACAGTGTTCAATTTGAGAAATCTCAGTTTAGGGATTTGCTCGTGAATTGTAATTTCTTGTTTGATTAATAAGAAATTATCTATGTGGCTCCCGAGGACGTAGGCAGTTGCCGAACCTCGTAAAACTTGGTGTACTGTTCTTTATTCTGCGTTTCTGTTGCATTAGGGGATTTAGGCGTTAAATTCCCAACAGAATCTCTATCCAACATATGAGATTTTAAAACTGATAGTAAAAACTCTAAAGTATAACCTCTATATACAGGACTTTACAATGAAAATAACCAATATCTATTTTCCTCTTGTAAAGACAAATTCAGATTTTTAGACAATATATCCAACTTAATATCCTTCACCAATTGCAGCACACTTTCGCATTTTTGTTGAAATATCCTGGAATTCCTCTCATTCCAAATTCTGTAGATTGATGTCAAAAGAGCCATACGCTTAACTCCCTGTTTGAATCCCTTTCCCCTCAGCCTAGTGCAATACCAGTCTAAGAGAATCCTCCAATCATATGACTTCTAGTTAAATTGCAGCCAGATCATGATACAATTCCATACCTCCCCTAAAAATCTACACTCAAAGAATAGATTATTTCGACTTTCTAATCCTTCCCCTGAGCATAAGCAACATTTGTTTGCATTAATGATTCCTCTTCTCATTAGCCTGTCATGGGTAAGCAGATAGTTTTGAATTGATAACCAGCAGATGAAATAATGTTTAGGATAGCACATTCTATCCCAAACAGTATTCATGCCATGTCACCCGTTGAGTAGTCGAGGAGAGAGCATAGTACAATGCTAAAACCTAAGATTTTGATTTGTTAAAACAGGTGCTAAGAAGATGTCTCAGGTTGTCAATGCCCCCACAGAATTGAACTGCTTTCTCTCTTAGTTTCATAAATTGCTTCCACATCTAAGAGTCTCCATTTTTTGTAGTTACATGCCATACATCCTCGTGTCTCAGATAAGTCTCATGAACCCATTTAATCCAAAGACTTTCCTTGTTGACATGGATGAACCACATATTTTTTAATGCAGCTGCCAGATTCTAAATAGACGTAGAAAATACACCCAAACCTCCTTGTTCTCTTCCCAAGCAGATATTTTCCCAAGCAACCAGAGGAACTTTAGGAGATTGATTAGTTTTACCCCATAGAAAGATCTCAAAGGGCGCAATGACGATTGCCCGAGGCAAGAAGACTGGTACCCTGTATATGACAGCAGGTGCACGTTGTTTGATCTCAGTTGCAGCAGGCAATGAGACTTCAAAGCTGTGGCACCAGAGACTCGGTCATATGAGTGAAAAGGGGATGAAGATTATGCACACAAAGGGAAAACTCCCAGGACTGCAGTCAGTGGAGATGGATATGTGTGAAGAATGTATACTTGGAAAGCAGAAGAGAGTCAGCTTTCAGACAAGTGGCAGAACCCCCAGGAAGCAGAAGCTAGAGCTCGTTCACTCAGATGTTTGGGGACCAACAACCACCGCGTCCATTGGTGGAAAACACTACTTCGTGACTTTTATCGATGATCACTCTCGGAAAGTGTGGGTCTACTTTCTGAAGCATAAGTCAGAAGTATTTGAAGCTTTCAGGAGATGGAAAGCTATGGTCGAGAATGAGACCGGTCTGAGAATAAAGAAGCTCAGGACCGACAATGGCGGTGAGTATGAAGACACCGGATTCAAGAAGTTCTGCTATGAGCACGGGATCAGAATGGAGAGAACCGTGCCCGGTACGCCTCAGCAAAATGGTGTAGCTGAGCGGATGAACCGAACGTTGACAGAGAGAGCCAGAAGCATTCGAGTACAATCAGGCCTACCGAAGCAGTTCTGGGCAGAAGCGGTCAACACAGCAGCTTACTTGATCAACCGAGGTCCATCGGTTCCATTGGAGCACAGAATACCAGAGGAGGTATGGTGCGGAAAGGAGGTAAAACTCTCACATCTTAAAGTTTTCGGTTGTGTAGCTTACGTGCATATTAGTGATCAAGGCAGGAATAAGCTTGATCCCAAGTCAAAGAAATGCACTTTCATCGGCTATGGTGAAGATGAGTTCGGCTACCGCATTTGGGACAACGAAAACAAGAAGGTGATCCGGAGCAGAGATGTGATATTCAACGAGAAGGTGATGTACAAGGACATGCACAAGACTGATGACTCAGAGAGCGAGTCCACATTTATAGATGCAGATGATGTCCCGAGTAACCTCTCGGAAGAACCCAATGCAGAGGGTCCTCAGCAAGAAGAGCCTGTTGGACAAGATGGTGCGCAGGAGCCCGACGCACCAGCTCCGATATTAAGAAGATCTTCTCGTCCTCCTGTACCCAACAGGAGATACATGAACTATCTGTTGTTGACAGATGGTGGGGAGCCTGAAAGCTTTGATGAAGCTTGTCAGTGTGGAGATGCGAGCAAGTGGGAGCTTGCAATGAAAGATGAGATGAAGTCTCTCATATCAAACCAGACGTGGGAACTAGCTGAGTTGCCTACGGGTAAGAAGGCACTCCACAACAAATGGGTGTACCGGGTGAAAGAGGAGCAGGATGGTTCCAGGAGATATAAAGCCCGATTGGTTGTCAAAGGTTTCCAGCAGAAGGAAGGAATTGACTACACCGATATTTTCGCTCCCGTGGTGAAGCTAAATACTATCAGGACCGTGATGAGTATTGTAGCAATTGAAGATCTTCATCTCGAGCAGTTGGACGTGAAGACGGCGTTTCTTCACGGAGATCTAGAAGAGGAGATATACATGCACCAGCCAGAAGGTTTCTCAGAAGAAAAGAAGAAGAACCTGGTGTGCAGACTCAAGAAGAGCTTGTATGGCCTGAAACAAGCCCCAAGACAGTGGTACAGAAAGTTTGACGGCTTCATGCACAAGGAAGGTTTCCAGAAGTGCAACGCCGACCACTGTTACTACTTCAAAAGATATCAGTCCAGCTATATCATCCTACTGCTGTATGTTGATGATATGTTGGTTGCAGGAGCAGATATGAAAGATATCAAGAGTTTGAAGCAGCAGCTGTCAAAGGAGTTTGACATGAAGGACTTGGGTCCAGCGAAGAAGATCCTTGGAATGCAAATCACGAGAGATAAGAAGAGAGGTCTCTTGCAGTTATCTCAGACGGAGTACATCAACCGTGTTTTGCAGAGATTCAACATGGGCGACGCCAAGCCTGTGAGCACACATTTGGCCAACCATTTTCGTCTATCGAAGGATCAGTCTCCTCAGTCAGAAGAAGAGAAAGAGAGTATGGCTCAGGTTCCTTACGCCTCAGCTATCGGAAGCTTGATGTACGCTATGGTCTGTACGAGACCAGACATTAGCCATGCAGTGGGAGTGGTCAGCCGGTTTATGTCGAATCCAGGAAAAGCTCATTGGGAAGCGGTCAAGTGGATTCTGAGATACCTATGAGGCACCACACAGAAGTGCTTGCACTTTGGTAAGGGAGAGGTAGAAGTGCAAGGGTACGTAAATGCAGACTTCGGCGGTGAAGTTGATCACCGAAGAAGCACCACCGGCTATGTATTCACCGTTGGAACTACAGCTGTTAGTTGGATGTCACAAGTACAGAAGATCGTTACCCTATCCACTACAGAAGCTGAGTACGTTGCAGTGACTGAAGCCAGTAAAGAGATGATATGACTTCAAGGTTTGTTGACAGAGCTGAGACTCAAACAGGAGAAGAATGTTTTGCACAGTGATAGCCAGAGTGCTATACACTTGGCGAAGAATTCAGCATTTCATTCCAGAACGAAGCATATTGTGCTTCGGTACCACTTCATCAGATCCCTGTTGGAAGATGACGTGTTAAAACTGGAAAAGATTCCAGGAAGTAAGAATCCAGCAGATATGTTAACAAAGACGGTGACAGTTCAGAAACTGGAGTTGTGCGCAACTTCAGTTGGCCTTCATGCATAGATGATGAAGGCGGAGCCACACAGAAGAGGAGCTTGATGGGATAGCTCGTTGCCGTCGGTTTGGTCTCCAAGTGGGAGATTGTTAGGTTGCTCCGCCGGCGAGGAGCTCCGACGAGCTCCAGATGACGCAGGCGAACGCACCCCTCGACGAACGCGATCTTCGACGAACGTACCCCTCGACGAACGCGACCCCGACGAACGCACCCCTCGACGAACGCAACCCCGACGAACGCACCCTTCGACGCTGGCGACAGGTTGTCGCCAGCCTGTCATCTTCCCCTATATAAGAAACCCGATGCCCTAGGGTTTTTTAGAGCTGTGCGGCGCTGAGCTTCTCCCCTCTTCCCCGATTTTCTCTGGCGGTGGAACTCCCAGAAACGCAGCAGCGTTCTTTTCCTCTCCATTGAAATCGCAGCAGCGATTTTGGCCTTTTTCTCCAGCTCTCAATTGTGAGTTTTGAGGGGAGATTAGAAAGAGATTAGAGAGAGAGAGAAGAAAAGAGGGGTTTAAATATTGTGGATATTATTTAATCTCAAGTGAGAAATTCAAAGGGTTTATTCCCTTTAATATTAACACTGTAGCTACAGTGTTCAATTTGAGAAATCTCAGTTTAGGGATTTGCTCGTGAATTGTAATTTCTTGTTTGATTAATAAGAAATTATCTGTGTGGCTCCCGAGGACGTAGGCAGTTGCCGAACCTCGTAAATCTTGGTGTACTTTTTCTATACTGCGTTTCCGTTGCTTTAGGGGTTTAGGCGTTAAATTCCCAACAGAAGGGTGTTTCGTTGATGAAGGAGATGGTGACGAAAAGGATCGACCCAACTGTTCATACTTACACACAATTATAATCTGTGGTAAGTGTGAGAGTGGTGATGTTAATGGAGCAATTGAAAAGTTTGAGAGGATGAAGGAATCAGGGGTTCATCCGAATTTTTGTACTTGTAATGCATTGATTGACGTGTACTTTAAAAATGGGGATATCGGAGAAGGGCTCGCTCTGTATGGAAAAATGATAGAGGATGGTTTGATTCCGAATGATGTTAGTTTTGCCACATTGATAGATGGATTGTGTAAACATAGAAGGATTAATGATGCAAGAGATATTTTCCACGTGGATATGGCGAGATTTGGTGTACTTAAGATGGCACCGATTTACAACTGTTTGATTGATGGTTATTGCAAGTTTGGCAACTTAAATGAAGCATTCAAATTATTTGCACAAATGAGAAAGGTGGGATTGCCTCCTGATTCTGTAACTTATGGTATACTAATAAAGGGTTTGTGCGACACAAAAAGAGTTGGAGAAGCCGCTGATGTACTTCTGAAAATGCGACAAGATGGGATTCCAGCCAACTCTGTGATCTACAATACTGTAATTGATGGTCGTTGCAAAGAAGGAGACTTGAATAAAGCCATGGAAACTTGCTTGCAGATGAGCAAGGAGGGCGTTGGACCTAATTTAATAACATTTTCTTCACTGGTTGATGGGCACTCCAAGAAAGGTGAAATGGAGGCTGCAATGCGAATATATACTGAAATGGTAGCGAAAGACTTCAAGCTCGATGTTGTAACTTATACAACACTTATTGATGGTTATTCTAAACATGGGAATGCTGACAAAATGTTGAGTATAAAAAAAGAGATGGAAGAGAATGATGTGAAACCTAATGTGGTAACTAATACTAGTTTGATTAATGGGCTTTTCAGGGAAGGGCTAACTCGTGATGCCATCGATCTAAATTTAGAGAAAATAAAGTTTCCAGATTTTAAGCCTAATAACAAAACCTATATGGTTTTAATGTATGGAATGTATAGAGCTGGGCTGTATTTCAAGGCTGGGAGATTTTACTTGTCAATGAGAAGCTCTGGCTTAGTGCCAGATGCTGTTACTTACTTGCTTCTAATGCGAGGTCAGTGCAAGATGGGGTACGTGCTTAATGCAATGACTTTGCAAGCTGATATGTTGAAAACTGGGGCTATGGCCGAGGATTGGTAGACATGAAGCCCCGACGGCTGGTCAGTTGTTTTTGATCAATCAGTTAGGGAAAATTTTATTTGGTCATTTGGAGGAATGAAGAGAAGCTGAGGTGGAAACAGCATATGGGATATAGACTATTCATTACATTCTCTGAGTCAGAAAGCTTAAGTACTTGCAGTAACATATTTGTTTAAATACTTCAATGGGAATGGAGCTGCAAGCCGAAATGGGGTTTTGTTGCAAATACATTTACGGTCGTCCGTGTTCAACAATACGCTCCTAGGAACAGATGCAACCTGATATGTGTTAATTTGGGGGGTGGATACCAACCTCTGCACCGGCGAGGAGCTCCGACGAGCTCGATGTCGACGAGGCGAAGCCACAGGCGAGGTCCAGGCGATCTTCGGCAGCGCCCCCCCGAGCTCTGCGTTCGAGCTCGAGCCCCACGTGCGAGCGCCTCCACCCAACTCTGCGTTCGAACGCAACTCTGCGTTTGGCGATGGCGTCCTTGCGTTCGAGCGCTCCCACCTCTGCGTTCGTGGGCCGCTGGCGACAGGCTGTCGCCAGCCCATCGATCTCCCCTATAAAAACCCCATCAGCTAGGGTTTTGTGATGCTGCTGAAGCCTTCCCCCTCTCCGATTTTTCTTCCCAGGCGGCGGCGGAAAACCCCCAAATCGCAGCTGCGATTTTGTGTTTAAATCCCAACACTCAACAGTGGTTGAGGGGATTAAAGAAGAGAGAGAAATAAAGAATTAAAAGAGGGGTTTTAATTGTGGGGTATTTATTCTCAAGTGAGAATTGAAAGGGTTCATACCCTTTGATTATTAACACTGTAGCTACAGTGTTTATCAGAGAAATCTCAGTTTTGAGATACGCTCCTAAATTGTAATTTCTTGTTTAATTAATAAGAAATTATCTGTGTGGCTCCCGAGGACGTAGGCAGTTGCCGAACCTCGTTAAATCTTGGTGTACTTTTCTATACTGCGTTTCCGTTGCAATTAGGGGTTTAGGCGTTAAATTCCTAACAATATGTGCATGGATGGAATATGAAATGCAGATAAGGAAATTCATCCAGTTACAAAAATGTTAATCCTCAGAATATCTGAATGTGGATAACGGTATGCATCTTATATTTTCAACAACGACAACAAAACCTTCATCCCTTTTTTCTTGGATAATATACCTTATTCAAAATTGCTTCTGGGGTCACTGTTTGTAATTATTATTTTTTTTGAAACCACTTTTGTAAATACTACAGAACTTCATGAAAAGTTTTCCTGAATCCAAAATTCAATATGCTTGCAAGTTATAGTGGCAGAAGATAATTATTTCCAAGTCCATTCAGTAAAATTTATAGACCACAACTCTTTTGAAGGTTGTCTCAGCCTATAAGTAGCTCTTAAGCTGAGGAAAATTGGAGTACTTCTACCTAGTGTGAAAAGGAAAAGATTGAACAATGGAAGGGTGAATAAGTTAATAATCATCCATTCAAACATTCGCCTCTTGTCACAATTCTGTGAGTTACAAAGTTGGTCCATATAAAGGATGGGATATGGATCCCAATAATGATAACTTGGAAGACACTTCAAGTAAGTTGGAGGAGCTTAGATGTAATTGTTTGGACTCGGAATTGGGAGAAGATGCATTTGATGTTAAGGGTAAGAAGGTTACAAAATAGAAAAAAATTATTAAGAGGTTGTCTAATATTTAATAGTTTAAATTTTATATATTCAGAAACTATAAAAATGAAGTATTGAAGTGTTTTGTATGAAAAAAATATTGAAATGCATACTTAGTTTTTTAATTTCTAATTTTCTACTATACACTTCGAGAAATGATAAGTGTAGCCAAAAACTGTTCGACAGTTCTACTTACAGCTCGAGGGGGTCCAGAGAATCGTGCAACTATGGTCTCGAGAGTTAGGTATTTTCAGTTACAAATAATACTGATAGATATCAGGGGACATACATATTCTGATTTTGTGAATTCAAGGTACAACAGGCGCACTTACATCAATATAAGTATCTGGAGGATCAGTATGGCCAGCTTTGGACTCTGTGTTGGGGATTTGATATATCTGAGGACAAGTTTGACAACTCGATATAGTCCTGGGATATAATAATCCCAACAAACTATAGCGAGTTAACATTTTAATCCCAACAAACTATAGCGAGTTAACATTTTAATAATTTGTTTGGTTCAATTTGTTATTAACATCTCTAAGACTCTAATACATATGACACGCTTGGAAAATTATTATTACAAGGCGGTATAGAATTATATAATAGAAAATGTTCACAATGTCCTTCCACCTCCTAGCCAAGTCCGAACGAAATTTGAGATAATAACAGATTAAGCATGTAAAAACAATTAATAAAAAATTAATTATTATTCAATAGGACACAGTTTGCGAAGAAGCTCTCTGAGTATTCTAGATGAACCGATGCATATGTTTTGTTCTTCACGACCAAGTTCTTAAAAGTCAGTGGCAATATTTTTTTTGTTGATATTTTATTGATCTTTTTGAGTATCAGCACCATAAAAATGATAGCATTTTCACACAAACGAAGAAGCAATCCGTACTAATCATCCCCACTCAATCACCATGCGTTGCTGCCTAAGAACCCGAACATTAGGGTGAGAATTGAACTATTCTTACACTACCTAAGAATCCCAAGTTCCCAACAGTATGCCAAAAAATGACTAGACTTAGATTGGAGGCTAAAATATGAACTAGGCACTTACACAACCATGAAATAGGATATAAAGGTTTCAGAGCATCTCCAACAGTTTCCCCAAAAATTTCTCCAAAATAGGAAAGCAAAAGTCATATTCTCCAAATTATTTTTGCTCCAACTCCAATAGCTTCCCCATTTTGAAGAATTCTGCATTTATTACAATAATAAAAATATTCTATATCCCTATTTTGGGATGCTCTTAGAGCATCTCCAACAGCTTCCCCAAAATTTTCTTCAAAATGGAGAAACAAAAGTCATATTCTCCAAATTATTTTTGCTCCAACTCCAACAGCTTCCCCATTTTGAAAAATCGCATTTATTACAATAGTAAAGCTCTCCCCAAAAATTTGGAGAATCGCATTTATTACAATAGTAAAGCTCTCCCCAAAAATTTGGAGAATGCTGCAGATTTGGGGAAGGCTCCCAATTTTTTCTTCTCCTTCCCTATTTTGGGGAATGAGATGAGGAATCTGTTGGACCAAAAAAAAGCTCTATATTCTCCAAAATTGAGTATTTCAAGAAGATGGGGAAGCTGTTGGAGATGCTCTTATGCATTGGAACTGCCCCATGGTTTTTTTTTTGTAATTACAGATTTTGTTTTATATTTATTTTCTCCTTCATCCCGTTTTGAATAACGTGTTGCATTTATGACAAAGCTTTCCCCAAATATTTGAAGAATGCCCCAGATTTGGGGAATACTCCTCTTTTTTTCTCCTTCATCCCTATTTTGGGGAATGAGATGGGGAATCTGTTGGACAAAAAAAAAGCCCAAAATTTTTCAAAAGTGAGAATATCAATAAAATGGGGAAGCTGTTGGAGATGCTCTCATAAGCACATGACTAGTATTCGTCCCGTGCTAAGCACGGCATCTTTACAGATTATTTTTGTGCGTATTTTTTTCTCATCTCATTTTTTTGTTTTGTCATGATAAATTTATCTTAAACATACTTGAAGTCCATCATATATAACTAATGAGGAAATACAGATAGTTATTTGTTTGCAATTCATCATATACTTGAAGTCCATATTAAACATAGAAACATAGATATTAGTAATACAAAAGTATGTTTAAATCAAGTATATACTTGAAGTTATTGTTTAAACCAGATAGTTAAATCTCTTGCTTAACCCTTCAAATAGTACCAAAGGTTGTATGCTCTCACTGTAAAAATAGTTCCAAAGAAATATACAACACTACTAACAGATAATTAAAACTTCACTACTATTTTCAAAAACTTATCTCAATATCTATGCATTAAACAAAAGTATTTAAACCCGTGCAAAGAACGGTTTATAAATTTTTTTTTTGCAAATATTACTTATATGAATTTCATGCAATAATATGTAATGTATAATTCATCACGTATGTACATACGGTAAGCAGCAAGTGTCCAAATGTTGGAACATTCTGTAAACTGAAATGGAGACACATTTGCAGCCTAAAGATACATATACGGGACGTACATTTGTAGCAATATACTTGGTTAACATCGGACATTTGTAGCAATATACTTGGTTAACATCGTACATTTGTAGCAATATACTTGGTTAACATCATGCAAAAGAACATTAATCGGCTCTCAACCAAAAGTATCATTTCAATTGTAAAAGATAAATATTGAAAACCCAAAATAAACATTCGAGAATTTATAGATAATAGAATTACATTTATGATTTATTCAAATAATATCCTGAGAACGGCAAAGGCTTCAAAACAGATTGGTAATGTATTTTTCTTCAGCATTCTGCAAGCTCCTCCTGAAGCTGTGCCTCCTGCTTCTTCTCTGACACTTAATTTTTTTCGTTATTCGACTCCCTTTCCCTTTCCAAAGCTCCTCGCAATCTTGCTGCTGATTCAGCATCCTGCAACTTTGCAGCCTCCTCCTTTTTCTTCAGCTTGGAATTCTCTCGTTCCAGTTTCCTAGCATCGGAAAATGCCTTTTCCAAATTGAACAATATTCTTAGATGATTCAATCTTTGACTCTGCAACATCTCTTTTGTTTTCTCCTCAAAAGACTGCTTATCTTTCATAAGACCAGCAACTTCCTCTTCCTCTCGTCTGAGTCTTTGTAGCTCAGTTTTGTCCTTTGCCAACCAGCCAGCAACATGCATCACATGTTTTTGGGCCCACTCCGACCAATCCTGCAACCGATCTTGCAATTCCCTTTCGTGAGAATTTAACTTATGTAGTACCTCATCTATCTCATCCTTTTGGATCGAATTAGCATTGGTATTGTCGCTTTTATAATGCTGAGATAAAGAATTAGACTCATGGGCTA